CCACTGAAATGTTGCCAGATTTTTAAAAATATTTGTATTAAAATTACAATTAAAAAGATAAAAACAAATACAAACTAAAAAGAATTTAAAAATGCAGAATAGGAAAAATAGAAGGAAAACTAGAAAGAAAGAATAAAAATATATAGTAAAAAAAAGAATAACTTCCCCTTCATCACAAGTACAAACTATTTTAGTTACTTCTCACCTTTTTTTGAAGGTGACTTCTTTTTTTTTTATATATATATATACTTTATTGATTTTTTTTTTTAAGGCAAATAAAATATAATAGCAATTTTGTTTGACATCGGATTCGCAGTGTTTATACATATATACATGAAAAAAATATCTGGTGTCATTTATACTATACATTTCTAATTAATTTCCGCACCTTTAACTCCTTCCTTGATTCTATCATTTATCCATTCGTACCATCTTCCCCATATCATATCGTAATCTGAGTTTTCATCATCACTTATCTCGTATGTTAATTTACTTGTCTCTGCACACTCTAATATTTTGCTAATTATAAGGTCATCTGGTGGTAGGTCTTTCTTTTTCCAGTATTGAGCGTACGCCAGTCTGGCAGCTGTAGTTATGTGTATTAGGAGGTGGACCTTTTCCTTTCCATGCCCTTTCTTTACCATTCCCAGGAGAAATATTTCTGGGTTCAAATCAATTTCTTGTTTGAGTATGTCTTTCAACCATCTCTGAATTTTGCTCCAGTATCTTTTGGCTTCGGGGCATGTCCACCACATATGAAAGAAGGTGCCCTGACCATGACCGCATTTCCAACAACTTGGGTGTACATTGGGGAACATCTGTGCTAATCTTGCAGGTGCTAAGTGCCACCTATGAAGCATTTCGTAATGATTTTCCTTGTACGTGGCTGCTCTAGTTAATTTATAGTTTTTATTCCACGCCTCTTCCCATTCGTTGAAGTTCAAACTATGTCCGATATTTCTCTCCCACGCTCTCAATTGGTTTCTGATTATGTCCTCATCTCTATCCTCATCTAATAAGTAATTATACAGCTTGGCCAACGCTTTTTTTCCTGGTCCCATCAGAATTTTGTCTAATCCGTTGTATCCTAATTCTAAACCAAATTCATCCTTGTCTTTCTGGTATCTTGATTTTATTTGCATGTAAGTCCACCAATCTAAAATTATGTCTTGGTCTCTCAGGACATCATTTGATTTAAGGTTTCCCCCTCCGTCGAGGATGTCTTTGTATCTGCACAGTTTCTCCATTCCCCACCTGTTGGGATAAATCAATGCCTCTACCGTAGAGAGCCAATTTGGGACTTTTGTATAATATCTCTGTCTAATCCCCGCCCACGTTTGTATTAGGGAGTCCCTGATTTTATGCCTGTGGAAGTAGGTTTTCTTTTTCTTATCTTTGTCCCATAAATACGCATGCCACCCTCTCTGTAAATCATGGCCTTCTAACATTAAGATTCTCTTATTCTCCAAAGTGATCCATTCCCTTATCCATATCAGCTTTGCTGCTCTATAATACATTTCCCAATTCGGGAGTCCAAATCCTCCCACATTCCTTTTTTCCTGTAAGATTTTGAGTGAAATTTTCGATTTTTTTCCCTCCCAAACGAAATCCCTCGTGATCTTATTTAATTCTAGGAAAAAAATTTTCTCTAAAATCACTGGTAAGTTTTGGTATAAAAATAAGATCTTGGGGAGGATGTTCATCTTGATTGCCGCGATTTTGCCTATAAGTGACAATTTAATCTTTTTCCATCTATCCAAATCTTGTTTTAATTTATTAATTAATGGAGTATAATTATCTTCTTTCAGAGATGAACACCTTTTGGTTAGCCAAATTCCTAAGTATTTTATTTTTGGGACAACCTGTACGAAGGTGACTTCTTTCCATAATTCATCTCTTGTCTATAAACAAATCCTTAAAACTCATCATTTCAATCCTGATCAGCAAAAGTCTGTTAAGGGTTAGCAAAAATAACAGCACATCTATTTGATCAAATAAACCAAATTTGCATTTGTTCCTTTTACTTTTAATAATTTGAATCCTGACCCTTCAAATAATGTCTTAGAACTTTATTTCTTTTCATTTATAATTGTTCCTTCTCACAAAATTCTTCAAAGCTTTTTAGCAATTCCCTTTTGCAATTTCAATATAGGAAAGTTATCCAGGTCACTCTTTTGGTTTGTTATTTGTATATCCCTTTAAATTATTAACATATCAGCTGGTTTCATTTACATGTCCAGTGAGGCATCTTTTTCCATATCATTCTTCTAGCCTGTCATTTTTTAAATCCATTTTCCAATAAATCTCATTCTTGTCTGATAAAATTGATTTCTCTTCCATAACTTCTTTTAAACACAATCAAAAGTTAAAATTAGCTTCTAGGGCCATTGTTCAAAAATATCCTTCAGTATGTCAAATATTAAAATAATTTCCCTCCATTCTTATATAAGTGTTATTTTCCTTTAATTGTAACCTTTAGTTCTTTCTTGTTCCCTCTAATGTCCAACCTTAAAAATCCCATCCTATCACATTGTAGACATTCTCATGAACTCTCCTTGCCAGCTCTTCATTCTGCCAAGGTCATCACTATTTTCACCATTTTTCTCCTGGAAGTCAAATCCTGCCAGTTTTTTTAAAAAATAAAGTGTTGAGATCAGCATATGAATTTAAAAGGTTTGCGATAATACATGGTTGAAAAAAAAATGTGGGAACAGACATGAAAAGAATAGATTCAAGAAAAGCAGGGTTGGTACTCAGTTCAAGAGACAATGTCCATGAATTAATTACTGAGCTGGCTTAGATAATTTACATACGTTAAAATAGATATTATTGAAATTGTATCCACCCCATATTCTAATTTTGCAACCTCATTGGATTAACTAAGAGATACATCTCTCTTTTCATTAAAAGATGAGTATTAATTAGTCAGGAAAATGTAGATGAAGGAGTGGCAGAATCTGGGGTGGGTTAAAAGAGGGGTCAGCCTAGAATCCCTACGTAGCCATGGACTAAGTTCACTCCTCCCCTTAAATTCAGTTGATACTTATCTAACTCCAAGCAGGTGCTAACCATTAGTTGAGAAGATTCCTATGTATAATCCTCAAAACTTTTTAAACAGGGGGCCAATTCATGGTCCCTCAAACTGTTGGGGGGCCAGACTGGCTGGGTGGGCATGGCTAGGAGGTCATGTGACTAAAGGGGCATGGCCAATTTAGCAATCCATTAAACAATGCACACAAATTGAACTTTAATTTGTTTTGCTCCTGGGAGTGTTTTATTGGCTTTTGTTTGCATGTTGCTCTTTTGGTTGACTTTTCTTTTTGCTAGATCATTTTTTCAGTTGTTTAGGAGTCTAATGGTCCACTTACAGTTTTGCAGCAATTCTTCTCAACCCAAGGAGCTTACAATCAAGGTCTCTCTCTCCCTCCCTCCCTCTCCCTCTCATCCCCCCTCTCTTTCCCTCTCTCTCTCTGTCTAGCTCTTTCTCTCTGTGTGTGTCTTGTCTCTCTCTCTTTCCCTCCCTTTCTCTTTCTATCTCTCTCTTTCTCTCTCTCTCTCTGTCTAGCTCTCTTTTTCTGTCTAGCTCTCTCTCTGTGTGTGTGTGTCTTGTCTCTCTTTCTGTCTCTCTCTCCCCCTCTCTCTTTCCCTCTCTCTCTCTCTCTGTCTAGCTCTTTCTCTGTATGTGTCTTGTCTCTCTCTCTTTCCCTTCCTTTCACTATCTCTCTCTCTTTCTCTCTCTCTCTGTCTCTCTCTCTTTCTTTCTCTATCTTCTGGAGGCGGGGGAGATAAAAAACGGGATGCACGGATGCCCTGGGAGGCCTCCATGCTCCCCATTTTTGGCCTGCAGAATGTTACAGGAGGTAGGGGAAGCCAAAAACAGTCCTGGTTTTTACCTCCCCCACCTCCAGAAGCATTCTGCAGGCCAAAAACAGGCTAAAACGGGCCATTTTTGGCCTCCCAGGTTGTCCATCTGTCCCATTTTTCACCTCCCACCTCGAGAAGCATTTTGCAGGCCAAAAATGTTGGGCTTACCTTCCAATTCCGGCCTGCGGGGCTCGCGAAGGTAAATCCTGCACTCGGCTGAAGAGTGGGGGCCAGTGGGTGGGTAGTGATGTGGGTGGGGTAGCCTCATGGTCCTGTGCGGGCCGGATTAATGGCTTTGGCAGGCCATATGTGGCCCGTGGGCCGTAGTTTGAGGAGCCCTGGTATAGATCTTTTACCAATAAATTAATTTAATTGGATCTTCACATATAGACCTGGTCTTTCCTGCCTGGCAAGCTGTTTCATAGTTTTGCCATTTCAATCAGGTAAATCATTTTAGTTGTGTAATAAATTAAAAGCCAAGAGAGTTATTGACAGTGGCATTTGGTATTATATCCCTTTTATTTAGTAACCATAGTTTTTGAAACCCAATTGCAAGTGAATCAGTGCTGTCTCTCGCCCCCCCTTCCCCCCACAGAGCCCCCATTTTGCTTACACAGAACTAGCAGCTTTTGAATTGAATTGAATCTCCCCAATTTGCTTCTGTGCTCCAGGAGATCATGTTACTGCTTTGAAAAGGAAAGAAAGTTCATATCCAATCTCTTCCTCCTCAAAAAGAAACCGGAGGCGATTTGCTAAAATATTCATGCCCAGGAAGAGAGAACCGGAGCAATTAAATGACACACAGTTTGGAAAAACTGTTCCCTTACACTTCACAGATCCTTTGTGGCCTAATTGTTGGTCGCTCAGTCAGGCTCAGGGCACAGTTGCTGTTGTAATGGAAGTGCTGGCTCTCCTTCTGGGCCCTCAGGAATGTCATAGGTCAGAGAGTTAGGATGCTCTTTTATTTTTCTTCCTCTCTTCAATTGGGTCCAATTCTAAGACACTACTTGGATAAGTCCCTGTAATTTTCTTGGCAAGGATTTTCAGAAGTGATTTGCCATTGCCTTTTTCCTAGGGCTAAGAGAAAGTGACTGGCTCACGGTCACCCCGTTGGCTTTATACCTAAGGCAGGATTAGAACTCAGAGTTGCTAGCCTGATGCTACACCAAACTGGCTGTTCTCAACCACTACACCAAATGATACTTGGACATAAAGGTGCAAGCAAAATATTTATATTGCGGGTGAATAGCACATTATTTATTGATCCTGTTGTTTGTTTGTTTGTTTTGTGTCTCCAAGTCAGTGTTAACTCCTGGCAACAGTTCCTAGGCTAATCCCTGCAGTTTTTCTGGCAAGATTTACCTCTTTCTTAGGGCTGGAGAGAGGGACTGGTTGAAAGTCACCCAGCTTGTTTTGTGTCTTAAGACAGGACCAGAACTGATGGACAACTGTTTTCTAGCCTGCTACCTTAATCACTGTACCAAATTTATAAGACCCAATTTTATAGAAGTGTTAATGGGATTAGTTTAAAGGGCTTCTTATTAATTAGATTTCTGTCAAGTTGAAAAATGAAATAGCCCATCTGATAATACAAATATCAAACTCTCTAAAATCATGAAAAGGGTCACAAGGTTCAAAGATCAAAGCAGGCATATTTACTAGAGAAGGAAAGCAAAAAAAAAAATGAAAGGGTTTTGCTTCAAAAAAAATTTTTTTTAAAGGAAGCCAGCAGGTTTTTTTTGCTGCCATCTAATGGTCACCTGGATTTTTGCAGGGCACATCTGGTTGCTTAACCAAGACCAGAGTATGAATGCAATTAACATTGCAAATGCCTATGATAGTAGAAGGATCTTATATTTGAAAAGGCTTGGTAAGCAGAGTCTCTCCAAAAGATCTGTACTTTGCCTCCTTACTCATTTACATTAAGTCCAAAAGCCAGTAGAATCTGAGGATATTATGGTATTATGACCTCCCATTCTGTTTGATGCAGTGGGATCAGGCAAGTGATATACCATTTCCTCCAGTCTGGTAGCCTCCTGTTTTGGATTTCCTATAATTCTCTGCCAGCATAGTGTTTGATTGAAGTCGTATGTCAAGAGAGCAGCAGATCGGGAGTGGCTTCTGCAAGTTTCAGGGCTCTCTTCTCTGTGAGCAGCCACAGGAGGTCTATGACAGCATATAATCGGAAAAGAAAACAATTCTGATTTCTGGGTGCATAATTGCAATGTAAATAAGTATTTTTCAACCTTGGCAGCTTGAAGATGTTGTGGACTTTGGTTCCAAGAATTCCCCAGTGAGCATGCTGGCTGGGGAATTCTAGGAATTAAAGCCCACACATCTTCAAGCAGTCAAGGTTGAAAAACACTGCTGTAAACACACACAAGATATTCAAGGTTTCCCAGCTGCAGCTTTGGTTAGGAATAGATTCCATGTAAAAAGGGCATCCTGACCTAAATTAACTGATAATTTCAGTTTATTCTGATGTCAGAATGCTTATGACCCTGGAAAGTTTGGATCTTTGTCCCAACTGCTACAGCTTCCATGGCTTAGGCCACGAAGCTTACTCCAGGCCTGTGAGATCTAGAATGTGTGTTGCCTGGCAACACTACAGCTATTCCTACATCAATTAGAGACCTGGAGGTGAGGGAAAATACTAGAAGTACCACCCTTTAGCAAATTACATATTAGAAAGCTCTTTTCACTGACTTTCACTTCTATCTCAATCTTTACATCTCAGAAACTCTCATGGAGGCAGCAGCCACAAAAGATAAGATGGCCGTGCATCCCAATGACACAGAAAAGCCAAAATCTTGCAGGGAGAAGTTTCTTCAAGCATGGAATGAAAAGCTGAAACTCCAGCCATGTCCCATATTGTATTCTCAAACACTAGCATCTCAGTCAGCAGTTGATATTTCTGTCCAGGAAATGCGAATAAGGAACAAGGCCCTGTCAGATTTACAAACAAGGGCCTCATTGCAACATAATGAAAACGCCGTTTATTTTGTGAAAGTAATGCCTTTTCCTCCAGAGCAAATGCATCCAACTCCTGGGGATGTATGTGTAGGTGAACACTGCCCACAGCAAGATGCTATGGCATCTTGGAATAGCAACCATGATGCTATAGACAAGAAGGTGCCAAGTGGATCCATGACAAGTGTTGAAGAGGAACTCCTACAGATTTGTGTTTCTGATTTACTGATGGAGTCTCCAGCACGGAAGAGGCCCAGATTGTTGCCACCTCACCGAAAGATGCATGTGGAAGTATGGAAGAAAGAGGCTTCACCCCCATTGCAGGAGCATGCAAGAAATCCAGTCCCATTGGCATACAATCACCTGGTAGATACCATGTCAATGACCAATCTTGCTGACCTCCCTGAAGTAGAATCTTTTTATCGCAGATTTAATCCTAAATTAAAACAAAGTTGTGATAGGAAGAACAGTCCAATCCAGTCAGGAACCGATGGCTTTTTGCTTGTCAGGAACACAGACGTTTCTACCTCTCAAGAGGCTGAAGGAAGAATTGCCAAGCAACATCAGCAACTGAGCTTGAAGAGAAGTTCTCCTTTACCTGATCTTATGGTGGCAAACCTAGAATCCATGAACTCTCAAAATATCCACTTGCCACCAAAGAAACGATACACTCATGGCTGTCTCTAAGAGATTTGCGGCTAAGTTGCCTGCCATTTTATTCTAGATGTGCCTAAGACCAAAGCTTTTAACAAATCTTCCAAATAATAACCATAAATGAATATATATTAGATATTTTACAGTGCTTAGTGTAAGATGTTACTTTTGTATTTTTGAAATAATTTTTTTGAAGGATGTAATTGAACTTGTTTTTCACTAATTCTTAGTAACTTTAGAAATAGGATATTATTTTCTCCCCTTTCCACCTGCCAAAACAAGATACTTTGAAAAACACTTCTGTCCGCAGTGTGGCTCCATCAGCAATGAAATTGGATGGTCCATTTTTACATGCTCACAAACAGGAATTATTTCAGAGTGAGAGGGATATTGTAGAAATGTAGGATGTCACTACTTTGTGTACATAAAATGTGACACAATCACGTATTTTCCTATTGTGTGTGTGCAATTTTTTTTTTGCAATACTTTTTTCAAGTTTGATGTCACTTTATTGGCCAGAAAAAGGATCTTGTATTCTAAAATAAGAACATGTAAATGCCCCTTATACCTGCCTAATTCTGTACTATCTCATGTGTTCAGGCTGTAGTCTGAAACCCAGGAATTAAATCTGGGAGAGTAGGTAAAATCAGAGGCTGTACCCCTGAGATTTTTAGCCTTTCACTGTTTCATCTGGGAAACATTTTCTGGAGAGAGGAGCAGTGGCACATATTTTTCACAATGGATATAAGAAGAAATGAAAACATTTGTCTATGGTTTCAAATTTCCCTTTCTTTTAAGTTGCTTTTCATTAGCTTACATCATTCAGCTTTGGTATTACTGTACTGTCATTTTTTTTAGTAGTTGCAATCCCTACTCCCTATGCAAGAACCACCATATAAAGAGGCCTGAAATAGTTCCTAGGGATTCTGGGAAACTAGATAGTATTGGAAAGAGGCAAATTCCACTCTAATTCACTGGGATATAAATGAGAGGGGAGGAAAAGCACAATTAGACTTGCAAGGCTGACAGCAGCCCTTTAAAGTAGACAAGCTTGGTAAGATGTCATAGGAAGAATACAACTATATTTCATTGAAATAGGTTATAACAAAGTCTTGAGCAAGACCAGTTAATGATTTGATGAGGTGTTCATTAAAGTTCATTGGACCACAGGAGATGGGAATCACCTTGTCCTGTATCTCAGATGTAGTTTATGTCTCTTAGTCTTGGCAAGAATAATTTGGGTCATTGTTCAACATACTAGTACCATTTTCTCTAGAGCAGTGGTGGCAAATGTTTTGGGCTTTGCATGTCAACATTTCAGAAATACCTAACTTGATTCTGTTGGCATGTCACATTGCTGTCCCAAAACAAAAGAGAAACGATTCTTTACATGTTCATTTATTTTAAAAAAATACAATTGTGTGTGATCCCCAGGATCTACCGTGCGCTGCTTAATTTCAGGCAATGTACTCTTTGTTCACAAGTCCCTGTGGCCTACCTGAGATTGCTCACATACTGGCTTCAGAAAATGAACTTTCATGGCCTCTGCAGCCTCAGAAAACTATACAAAAACATACCCCTTTCCCAAACAATTTTTGGAGGGTCAAGGCTCCATAAGAGCATTGCCTTCTTAAGGGAACTTTGCAACCTTCAAAAATCACAGGAGAATGGGGTGGGCATTCAAAAATAACTATTGGGTGTTGGTGAACGCTAGCATGATCCAAAGCATTGTGGCATGTTGCCTTTGACCAACTTGTCCTAGGTTCACCATTACTGTCCTAGAGAAGCACTATATTATATAATCCTTTGCATAGAACTTGGAAATAAAGTTAACTGTTGAAGATCCAGTCAGGATAGTAATGTGGAATTTGGTGGATTAGATTTACTTTCAGTGAATTGTAACAGGGCTCACAATTACATAGAAAAATGCATTAATTAGTGTAATAAAAACTTGTTATAATTTGGCCTACAGCATCTCTTCAAAGTGGGAAACATGTACTTTGAAATATACAGTATGTGGAGAAATTGCATATATTAAAAAGGATTTTGCAAAACTACTTTGTGAAGGAACGGTTTAGATTATTTTAAGTCTAAAGTTAAAAGCAAAACATGAAGAAGAAAAAACCCAAGCATTTGGAATTTATAGATATTCTAAACGTTTCAGAGACTGTAAAATTAAGATAGTATCACAAAACGTGTTGGTCGCAAGAAAAAAATAAGTAAAGGTACTGTTTTATTTCAAGAAAAATTAATGTAGTGTTCACATACAAATCAAGTTAAATTTGATTAGTTTGTTCACATCTGAACAGCTACAAAAATAATCTACCCAGTCTGCCAAACAATTTAACAGTACTGTAATACAACAAAAACTTCATTGGAGCAGCCACAGGGATTTAAAGTGACATATATTATTTCAATCATTTTTTTAAAAAGCACACTTCTAAAATATGCCTCTGTTAAACACCCATTATGATTTTAAAAATGTACAAAAAATAATAATCTTAATGGAAACAGTACTTATTCTTAAAAGTCTGCTTCCAAAACAGTAATTTTTATAATTTAAAACCCATCCCAGTACAAATATATATATATATATTTAAAAAGGAAATAAATTGTGCAAACACTTGAAGAATTGCAAAACACAGATCCAGAGGCATAAAAAGGAAGAGGCTAGAGTGGTTCCAGTCTCTTAACAAGGCGGATAACTCAAGATAGGTACGAGCTTCAGATGAGGCACAATGAGGAAAAGGATGCAGCCCTTCAATTTCATCCAAAGCCCTGGCCAGGGGATGCGTCTCAGCCCCGACGATGGTGTACCTACGACAGTAGTGTTATGGCACTCCTTTTAAATGCCCAAACCTCACAAATGACACGCCAAGGCACAATCATTCTGTTGGAAAGAAAAAAGCAGTTACTCTACATAACTTGAAGACTTAACATATCATTATTCAATTTACAACAGTCTTTGCCAACTTAGTGCAATAACCAGATATGATGGATTTAGAAGTTCCATGATTTCTAGCTAGTTTATACTGTCAGTTGACTAATGAAACATTGAATTTATTTGAGCCAGTGCAGGTACTGACCACAAAAGTGAATAACTGGATATTGTGGTCTCAGCACATCTAACTAGCTTGGGCCAGGCTTGTGTATTTAATATCTGTAGATTTTAAAGTTCCGTGACAGACATAATCTATGTACTACTTTGCTGGTATTTCCCCCAGTTCAAATTCTGTATCAGTGACACCATTTAACTTATCTTTCTATTTACACAATGGTGTTTGATTCATCCAGCAGCTTCTAACTGGCCTGACATAGTAAGAAAATAGTCCAAGAAATGCCAACCCCATCTCTCTAGCAGCTCCTGCTAGAAGTGTTCCACTGTTGCTAGGCCTTTTGGAGAAAGGAGCTAAACTATTTTTCCCAGAAGGAAAAAAAGAGGGCCAAAAGGCTCTGTTAGTATGTTGGGTTTTGTAGTAAATTCTGGCTAGGTTCCAAATAGTCTGTCTTAAAGAGAGAAAAAGAATATAGGAAGAAAATGAGGAATAAATCCTCCATTCATTTGAAAAAAAATAAGAGTGGAAAAAAAAATACTGAACAGTCTTGTTGACAACCATAATGTCAAGAATTGTCATGACAAGGCTGCCTTTGAAGAGCAAAATAGGCTTTAAGAACAGCCTTTTCTTCTGGATAAAACAAGATTAAGGTTTCCATCAAGATATCAGTACCCAGTAACTGGCCAAGGAACTTTTTAAAAAATCTGTGATTTTGTTGCTGTATATTAGGGCTGTCAAACTCGCGGCCCACAGACTGGATGCGTCTGGCTATGCCCATGCCTGGTTTAGCGAAGGGGGGGAGTCGCGATATGTCATGTGATGCTGCCCTGATGACGTGAGTTTGACACCCCTGACTGCAGCAAGAATTCTTTATGCTTAAAAAGGGAAAGATTAATCTTCACAATGAAAGAATGGATGGAGAAACTGATGGAGGTAGCAGAGATAGTGGAATCAAATGCTTTAATTGAAAAATACATTGTTTTATTTCTACTTGGAAACCACTTCTAGATTGAAGACAGAAAAAAAATGAAATTTTGACTTTGGGATTTGCTGATTAGACAAGTCTGTTATAGAAATGCCTAGTATATTAAATATGTCAAAGAAAACAGCGAGGTCTTATTTTTATTCTACTGCTCTGAGAAAAGTTGAAAGTTAACACATTTTTATTCTTTTTCTCTCTATCCTACACTTCTCTCTTTCCCCTTTTTTCCTACTGTCTATTTTAATTTGTATTTATATTATGAAAATTTAATAAACATTTTTTACAAAAAGATATCAAGACACAATCCAGGCTTTCATTGAAGCAAGACAACTTGGTGCCCATATTTTTCTCCACTCGGTGCAGATTGTAGGGGCACTATGGCTGAAAAGGATATGAAACTGGATATGAGGACCAGACTGCTGAAATTCTCTCTGGAATAAAGAGAGCTCTGGAGATACACATATGTTCCTTATTGGGAAGAACAGCATATAAAGTTTACTAATAAATATGTACACCTCAACAACTGATTTTTGACAGAATTTGCCATATGCAATTAACTGTGAATTGTAGGTTCCATCCTGTTCTGAACCCAAAATGCAGCCTTTCATGGATTCAAGATATGACCAAACCTCATTCTTTTTAATCACTCTGGAGTTTAATTTTTTGAACTGCCTCTTTAAGATTGAAAAACCTTCAGAACTGCAAGTCTATAAGTTGCTGGCTGAGTTTTTTTTTTTTAAAAAAGGAAACTACACCTCTTCAGCTTTGTAAGATATTTATTTTGATAACTTTGCAATATACAGCAAAGAAGTGGCTTTAGAGTTGTTTTTAGAGTTTAAATGCTAATACTTCATGAAACTGGTTTAAAGAAACACTTTGAAACTAATAAGAAAGATCCTTTCCTGTAGGAAAAGTCTGTTTTGTTTCCCTGCAAAGCAAGACTTTGAAGGTCTATTACTAAAGCACATGATAGGAAACATTTGACGTGTGAGCATATGAAGAAGCTTTTAAACTCTTTACTGGAACTAAATGTTGCTACTGAAAATGAACAAATCCCTTTGAAGACAACAGACTGGACTTCAAGGTGGACATTAAAACTTACAAATTACAAAAATGAGATGGAAATGCTGGATTTACAAGTAGAATTGGATGATCATTTAAAAATAAAAAAGGACATTCAACAATGTACTCTTAAGAGCAATGTGGACTATTCTTTTAAATTGAAATATGAGAGATTTATTGGAATTAACTTCATAGAAATTGCATATGGGCTTGGATAAAGATAAGAACTTCAACAGATGAAGCAAAGAGATTATAAGAAAACTGGAGTTAGAATTTTATCTCTAAGACTTAAGGATGGCTGGGAGAAAGAAGGGGAAAAAACCCTACAAAATTGGTTTATTTGACTG